GTCCCGGGGAGACAAATTACCGACAATATCGTTATTGCACAGGAACTTATCCATTCTATGCGTGTCAAACGGGGTGCCAAGGGATACATGGTGATAAAGGTTGATCTCAAAAAGGCGTATGACTACCTTCGATGGGATTTTATTGAAGAAACCATTCGACTAACTGGCTATCCTGAGAAGTTTGTCTCTGCAATCATGGCGTGTGTTCGATCAGCCTCAATGAATGTTTTGTGGAATGGAACACTGGGTGACCAATTTTGGCCTTCGAGGGGAGTTCGACAAGGTGACCCATGTCGCCCTATCTCTTTGTACTCTGCATGGAGAGACTAGCCCAGATAATAAATGAGTCGGTGGAAAAATTTGAATGGCGCCCGATTTCAGTGGGACGGGGAGTAGTTCGCGTCCCTTTCTTGATGTTTGCCGATGACCTACTCCTGTTTTTGGAGGCTTCGGATGAGCAGGTGGCTGTACTCACGAATGTCCTTGATGGCTTCTGCACTCGATCGGGCCTCAAGGTAAGCACCGAGAAAACCCAAGTGTTGTTCTCTTCAAATGTTGCTCCTCAGGAGCAGAGTCGACTGGCTTCGATGCTTAATTTCAATTTAACGGACTCTTTGGGTAAATACTTGGGGGTCCCGATTTTTCATGGACGTGTCACTAAAGAGACATACTCTCATATTTTGGAAAAAACGGAATCGAGACTAGCGGGCTGGCGAATGAAGTCGCTTTCTCTTGCCGGCAGAGTGACTCTCACGCAATCCGTCTTGACTACACTACCTTATTACACCATGCAGACTTTATTGTTACCGGGCATCGTGACTGACGGGCTTGATAGGAGAAGTCGCGCCTTCGTATGGGGTGGGACCAATGACAGGAGAAAAGTTCACTTAATAGCCTGGAACAACATTTGCAAACCGAGGGAGGATGGGGGCCTAGGTGTTAAGGACCTTCGTCGCATGAATACCGCTTTGCTTACGAAACTGGGTTGGGGATTATTGACTAAACCAGATGCTTTGTGGGTACGCGTCTTAACAGAGAAATATGCACTTAATTTTTCGACCGACCTGGAGTTATTCCCTCAGCGGCGGGGTTCGGCCCTTTTGCGGGCTATCCGTACGGTCTGGCCCCACGTCATCAAGGGTATCCGTTGGATTTTGGGCGATGGTTCACGGATCCATTTCTGGCTCGACCCGTGGTTAGACACAGAGGGGCCGCTGATTCGCCACATTCAAAGTCAAGCCCATATTGTGGATTTATTTTCTACTGTGGCCGAATACGTGGATAATTTCAGGAACTGGGCGTGGCCAAAGTTCCATGGGATTCTACCGTCTACGCTTATTCTACGTATAGCGGGCACACTCCCACCAAAAGCCTCAGCGGGAGCAGATCGTATTATCTGGGGTCCGTCGGAAGATGGCCGTTTCAGTACGAAGTCGGCTTACAAGGCGTCGTCGACTCACGTGAGTTGCCATGACAGGTCCTTTTGGAAACTTATATGGCGTGCTCCAGTTCCGCAACGTGTGCGCATGTTTCTGTGGATTACTGCTAATGAGCGACTCTTAACAAATGTTGAACGAGCCCGGCGACATATGTCGGACTCGGTGGCTTGCGACTTGTGTGGTGCTAACGAATCGATTCTCCATGTGTTGAGGGACTGTACTGCTGCGAGGGACC